GTTTACCACTCAATGTGAAAGAGCAGAATGGTAAAAAAATAAATTGCTTCATATGTCATAAGATTATTTTGAAACAACATGACAGAAGAAATAAATACAAACGATTGTCGTCATTTGGAAAGCGTTATAGACACGATCCCGGCCAACAATCAACTATCTCTATCTCAACAACTTTTAACTCGATTAGAACAATTAAAGACACTGTTAACAACACCAAGTAAAGATGACAAACAAATCTGGCTACAATTTCTTTCTGTCTGGCGCGAAATTCTTCAAAACCCATTATCGGTTGTTGAATCATGTTACATAGAATCTGCTCAATTTTTAACACACCTATTAACGTCGATCGATTTTGATTCTATTATAAAAGAAAAATCCACAGCTAGCGAGAGCAATTTTACATGTATCATGCTGTTGAATCAATCACACTTCAAGAATTACCTTCTGCTAACGAAGGAAGAACAAATGTTACCAGGCAATAGAATATACAGTGTTCATATTTATTTTCTTTTACTAATAGCCTCATATTCAATTTTCTTTGCTTCATCAGCTACAATTGATGATCGACAATATATTGAAAATTATATTGATCTTTTTACTCTACTTATTGATCATATAGATCGAAGTATGCCTGAGCATTCTCAAAGAATCATGAAGCAAGAGTATGGATTAGGTGATATTAATGAAGGTATTCTTACGTTGCTCTGGAATGTAGCAGATCAAACAGTGCTTGTTCTGACACTGCTCAAATGTGGTCTTGCAAAAAAAGTAGTCGCCTGGCTTTCTCAATCGACTAAATTGACAGATAAAAGTCGACGACCACTGATCAGTATTGTTCATAATATAGCACGACATGATGACGGCGCCGATGAACTCAACAATTATGGAGCTATTGATGTTATAAAACAATATCAGAAGACGTGAGTTCACTTTGAGTGTCGATCTTACATTTTCTGTCTGTGAAGTAATGGAAAAAAGTTTAAGCACAACATTTTTTCTTTTTGTTTTGTTCAAAGACATGAGTTAAGAATATCTGTCACAAATAAGGTTTTATTAGTTTTCTAGCGGAGAAAAGTTTAAAAACAAATAAAATAAGCTCATATTTTATCACGTAAATTCTGACATCTGTCGGATAACCTATATGGTTTTCATAATTACATCACACAAAGTTTGTGTTAAAATAGAAGATTGCAAAAAGCACACCAAATTACATCTAATAGGATAGTTTAAGTTTTAATAAAAGTTTTTTCACTATTGACTGTGATAAAATTTTCATTTATAGTTACATCAGGTGGTTGTGCTACTTGGACTATTCGTATCAATTTTGAAACCTTGTAATTGTCTTTCTAGTTGAGTCTGATAACGCCAAAGGGTCTCGGCCAAATAATGTACCTTAAGGCTATCAAATACGTGAACCCAACAATATAAATTTAATCAATCTTTTAGACCCAAAACTCGTATTAGGTTGGCGTATTTGACAACCTCTAAAATCATTATTTTCTAGAAAATTGTTTGTTTTAACTATGAAAACCATATAAAGTATTTTATAGATGTCGAAATTTTAGCTTTTAAAGTACTCTTAGATGAAGATTTCTTAAAGGAAATTTACCTTTTACTTCTTGATGGATCATTTTTGACTCACTCATACTGAATGACATTAAAGATGATTTTTCTAGAATTGTTGTATTTTCAATATAAACTCGTAATTAATAATATCTTCATGCTAAACTCTTTTGTAGAATCTAATAGTCATTTAAAAACCAAATCGGCAGTCACTTCTTAAATAACTATATTCCATATTATAGAAATAAACGGAATACTAACAGTTTTGGAACTGAAACTCATTATTTCCATCCGAACAATTCGTCTTTCCCAATGTTCAACTATATATCATCCTCAAAATGGCTCGTTTTGAAGAAAATATTCATGCTAGGTAACAAAATGGCTAGATATCATGAAAAAAAATCAGATTAACAAATAACTTCAAATTTTCATGCTATTCAAACTGAAAGGGCCATTTTTGATCCATTCTACATCGCAACAGTAAAATGACTTCCTTCAAATTTAACTATATCAGTTTCATATTGAGCAGTGATACAGGTGATTCTCGTAATCTATTTGACATTAGCGCTGCTAGATTAATAACAGGAGTAAATGGTAATGTATTATGTTGGATACGTTTTGCTCTTTCAGAAAATGTCTCTAATAACAGAATTATTGCTTGCCATATTGAATAAAGCATGATAATGCATGAGTTCATCTTATTTGTTGCTAAAATTTGTTTTACCGCTTTATGTAGTGAACTTGAAAAGGGGGATTCACGAAGTCTGGTTGCTTCTATGGCTTTGGCCCTTCTTTCGACACCTGAACAACTGAAAACTGATAAGAAAGGCATGAATACTGTACTAAATCAACTGCTACAACTAGTCATGAATGCTGCTAAAGATGGCAAATATCGACATGATGGATTTCATGTTAGTGAACCGTTGGCAGTCATGGTGAAAATGTTCGTCGTCGAAGAACGTACACTTGACTATGTATTATGTCATGCCGAAACAGAACCTGCATCAGATATGTTTTCAACTATTAATGTCTTCGTTTCGTTACTATTCGATTTTTCTCAAGCATTAAAAGGAGACAATCGGCTTGAACAATTTACACTTATTGCCATATTCAATATTCTTTGGAGTATATCATTTCAACAAAACTATGCACAAGAATTAATGAAAAATCAAAAATTAATAGAAACAATCAAACATTTCATAGATGAGAATTATGAACAAAAAATTTTAGAACAATACAAGCCACGTTCAATGGAAGGTATCAAAGAAGCAGCTCATGGTATTCTTCATAATCTTAACATAGATAACCAAATCGAGACGACATTCAATAAGCAAATGACTGTTGTTGATGCTCTTGTATCAAATTCATTGAAAGTGTACGAAAAAAAAGTTTTTTCTTTAAACATTACTACAGGAGTATTATTGTTTGGTATTCTAGTATAAGTAGCAAACCATGGATTATGATAAGTTATTGTCATGATAACAACACTTTTTGTGATAAAATCTTCAGTTTCCTATCCCAACGCAATGATACCTTTGACATATGGATCGATCGAACTCACTGTCAAACAGCACATGATTTATGGGAGTCGATTGCTGAAGGAATGGAACAAGCATGTGTCATTGTATGTCTTGTTTCAACTCAATATTTTGAAAGTAAATCATGTCGTAAAGAATTCATATACGCAGCTGATACACTCAAGAAAACAATTGTACCTGTTTTGCTCGAGAATTTTAAACCTAAAGGATGGCTTGGTAAGTAATGAAATTATTTTATTATCATTTTCTATTTTCATATGCTAGGCATTCGCATACCTGATATGAAGTATGTTCGTTTTCGAGATCTTCTTCAACCTGAGCAAGCTAAAATGGTTGAGTTGTTGAACACAATTCTTGTGTCACTGTCGGCATCAACAACAATGGTCCATGAGAATCTTCCACCATTATCTCAACATCATACTATACCATTATATGTTACTGCTACCACTGAAGAAACGTCTGCATTTCGTCCATTTGATCAATGGACATCAACCGGTAATGATATTCCTGCATGGTTTGCACACCATCGAATATCGAGTAAACTTCGTGATTTATTCGAATTTCAAACAGGCAAAGAAATGCTTGACTATGCTGAATTGCTCATTAAAGATCGTGAAAAGCAGATGAATATATATGCAAAAATATTTTCTGAGAAATACAATGGTAGTGAAATGCCTCCACACGAGTTTTATCGATTTGCCACAGCTATGGAACAATTACTGAATGATAATCGTTCTAGTTTGTCTTCTACCAACAGAAATGCGTCAATACCAATTAAATCGAGAAGCTGCATTATTTTGTAAAAATTTGAAATAAGTATCTGTGCACAGTTTTAGTTATATGCTAAATTTAAACATACGATGTGAACAATCGAAGAGCTTAAAGAAATCAAACTATCATATCTCAAAAAGATATTTTCTAATCAAATGTTGGTATAATAACAATCTTATCCTTGATTATTATTCCTCGATCTTATTCTAATTTTGTAATTTGATTAACAATAAAGATATCTATATTGAGCTTGTTGTCTATAGATTTTGTTTCTATAGAGTAGTTTTTATGTGTTGAGGTTGCTCGATGAATTATCTTAGATAATTGATAGTGAACTTTGAGTTTGTGAACAATTTGACGATAGATAAAGGAATCAGTGATGAAATTTTTGCTTTTTGTTACTATAGGTTGCATCAATAAATGAGGCATAAGAATGTTTTAAATCAATTGTTTCTAAGGCGATAGAAACTAAAAATTTTCATAATAGTCAACCAGTTTACACACTTTTCGAGGTGATTAGCGACCTGACACGAAGGTCATAACTACTTAAAGTCTGTTCTAAGCAAACCGACATTTGTTTTGCACCAACTGATAAATGCAGTTAAAGTTTTAACTTCAACTTATACAAACTATTTGCATTGACTTTTCTCAATATACAACCAATACAATTATCTAATACCTATGAGGGCGTGGAGACAAATCGATATGTTGGTTAAGAAAATTGTTGCAAAGCATGGACCATATCGTCGTTGTTTTCCAGCATAGAGTCATTTCAACAACTTTGTGTCATGAATAATACTCTTCTCAAAATCGTTCAGTTACTTTGTAGAGGAGAAAAAGTATGCTGTTGGGTGAGTTAACCATATTTTTACTTGCTCACTCACTAAATAGAATCATCATCTGGAAAGCTTCAGATCATATCATTGCTTTTCTCTATAGAATTAAATATAATCAATTTTTGACAACTCTTAGAGTAAAAACATCTTAGATTTCTTATTTTATGCCTAAATGTTATTTGTTTTCTGGAAAGGACATCATTAATGAGAAATTTACGGTTTTTTTAATGATAGAAAGCTTTGAGAACATCAACAACTTTTTTGTCTCTGACATGATGTTGAATTGTTGAATTCAATGATTTCTTTCCTCAATTATAAATAAATTTCCTTCCTTGTCTAATCCTATGCTATACACAACTTTGAATGAGCGAGCATCGGTACCCCATGCATTTGCATCAGTCAATTGCACGCCTTCAGTTGTACCTAGAGCCCATTTCATAAATTGACTATTGTCAGTATCGGCAACATAAATGTTGCCATATCGAGCAACTTCAACATCCCAGGAGCTATTCAATTGATTAGCAGCTGCACCTTTTTCATTTCCACCTGCCACAGTAATACCTTCATTTGTGCTTTTCTTCCATTTTTGTACTCGGTTATTCCATAAAATCAGCGACGTAGATCGTCTCGCATTGATCAATAAAGATATCACGTGAACCACTTAGCTGATTTGCTGCTGATCCGCTAACACTGATGCCCGCTACGATGACACCTTCGACTTTTTCGGGAATTCATTTAACAATTCGATCATTGCAAAAGTTCAATATAAACAATGCATTGGTTTCTTCATGAACAAAAATACTCTGACCAGCATCTATCTGATTCAGACCTTTGCCTTTATCATTTTTCCCAGCTACGATTACACCACTAGTCGCACCTCTTGCCCACATTTGAATGCGATTTTTATTGGTATCCGCTGCATACACATTTTCGTTTTTATCAATATAAACAGCCCAAGGCATATATAATTGACCCAATCCACTACCAGGGCCATGGCTGCCTGCAACAGTGATACCCATACTGCCGATGGCTTTGAGATTAAACTTCTGAATTCGATGGTTTCCAGTATCAGCAACATAAACATTATTACGCTCACCATCAACAAATAAGTCGAATGGTGAGCCTAAATGGAAGGTATCAGATCCGAATTTTCGGTCAATACTAACAATAGAAATTCCTTGTTCTGACCATTCAGCCGTTGCACAGCAATTGTTTTGGTTTCCATGATCACAATTGATTGTAGTCAAACAGAAATAAGAGTCATCAACGAAATACATCATACGCAACTCCAATGATCTATTTCAACATTGAAAGCGAAATAAGCTACTTGATTTAAGATACGAATCAGTGCAAAAATGACATACGTTTATGAGTGTCTCAATCGCAAACTTGAATTTGCTGATTCTAAACTGACCCAGTTGGGCATTGCATCAAATAAGGTAGAGGGAATAGTTATCGTGTGGATTAGCAAAGTGACTATCGCTTGGACATTGAAAACAATTAGTAATTGAATATAATGATACAAAGATAAACACAAATATTAACTTCATTAGTATGATTGAATTGTGTTACCTAAACAAAACAAAAAAAGCAAGGTCAATTCTTTTTTTTATTCTCGTCATGAAATCCACTCGACACCGAATAGGTACTTTACTTCTCACATAACCAAATTAAGCCTAACGATGACTTGAATGCATTTTTTGTGAAACATGACCTGAAAGGAGTGTTGAAGTGTATAGGGTAGAAATTTTGCACCCCCCCCCCCCCCCCCCCCCCTTACAGACCGTGACAGAGAATCTCCGGTACCCATCTATGAAAAATCATTTGATATTCGAAAACAATCTGTTTCATCTAACGATCTTCACTTAGTTTCTATTTACAATAACATGGCTGTTGTATATAATTCGATGGCAGATTACCAGATTTCACTGTTATTTTATGAAAAAACGCTTGAGATCAAGCACAAATCTCTTCTTCTGAATCGTTCACCGTTGGCTGTTGTCTATAATAACATTGACCAAGTTTACCGATCGATGAGAAATTACCTAACAGCACCCGCATATTATGAAAAAAGACTCCAAATTCAAGTGAATTCTTTTCAACCTAATGATCTAAATACTGCCAATACTTACAAAAAGATTGGGTTAATTCATGACTTGATGAAAGATTATTCGGTAGCACTCTCATACTACAAGAAAGCATACGAAATCCAAGAAAAACACCTTTTATCTGATGATCGTAAGCTTGTAGACACTCATGAAATAGAATTGCCCTACAATTATTAAAAGAATAAACTAACGAACTAGTTCAACGCTTGATTGTGACTGTTAATGTTGATGAGAACTCGCTTGATCACAACTCGTATTGGATTTGTTTAGGTCCTGTATTCTCAATGAGTTTTGCATAAAATAGAAGAAAACTGACAAAAATTGGTTTTTCTACAATGATTCTGCATATATCTCATTGAATAAGACTGCGTGCTTTTGCTTGAGCTGCATGAAAATTAAAGAATACAGACTAATAAAAGAAAACCAATAGTACTTTGTTTGAGGGCTATCTAAGGAGATAGAATAGTGACAGAAGAGTTGAACATGTATACGATAACATCCGCAGAGAAATCGATGATAGTATGATGGTCGATGAAGAAATTACTCTCATTTACATGCACGTCATCATCCATTACAACATCATTTACATATTGATCTGATTATGTGCATTCTGTTAAAGGTATTTTATTGCAATGATTCGATTGAATACATACAGGTTTTCCAGATTGATTCCACGATTTATGCATATCAAAAAGATGATTCAAAAACAAAGTTCGAAAACTCTTAATATTCCGACTTACGAGAGAACCTTTCTAGGTTTCTCCCGTCCGATTCCAATGATGCTTTTGCCAATAAATATTGTTTCGTGCTCTAGTAAAAACCCTTAAAGAATTTGGGTTTTTATCACTTTCTTGAAAAGTTATGAACATTATAATTTCGCTTCTATAGTGCACAACATACAGTATTATTTTTGGTATCATAATAGAAATTTTACTTCTTATTAAATAAAAGTAAAATCCATATGTAATGTTTCATGAACAATTTTCAGTTGTTATCTAGGAGAACAATAAGAACAATTTGAAACAAACTTTATGAATCAATCTGTCTTGGTGTGCGTAGAGGAAATTTACAAAACTTGAGGAATAACAAGTTGATAAGTCTAAAAGCAAACTAATGGATGAATTTTCCTTTTGATTTATTCTTTGTAATGTCCTTTTTTAATTTTTCGATTTCATTTTTATTATGAGTTACAAATTACAAAATCAACAAAACACCTAAGTTAGTGAATAAGAAGAAAATTTTGATTAATTGTGGAAGAATATGTCATCGGAATCACCTAAAATATAAATTATAATGATTGCTCAATTTTCTTTTTCTTTCGACTTACTGTAGTTGATCACTTCTGCATCTTTCTCAATGTTTGCATTTTGGAGAGTAGTCTTGCAACGAAGAATACCTATGGGAAGAAAAAATAAGGTAAAGAAAATACGTCAAAACATAACGAACCTCCAATGCCATCAAAATCATGCACAAATTGAGAACCTTCTTGACTCTTATCGGTCACAATTTCAAGTGTGGTGTCTAATACAAAAGATGAATATCAGATTTATCATCCATTATCTTTTACCGAATTTCTTATGATTCTTGACCAACCATTCGAGTAATGGCATTTCTTCAATATGTTCCCATTCAAAATCTGTTTGTTTGTCTTGATGAACAACACATGAACTTTCCGTTTTTATTTCTTGCACTTGACGTTGGCGTAGAAAATAATGATTCACATCGACATTTTCCCATATAATTAAAGTTTCTATAGAGCCCATATCCAGTGCTTTGAATGTATCATAGACACCAAAACAATAATGACTACCGTCTTTGAATACTTCATTGAAGTACCGAGCTAAATTAATGAAAAAAATCAAACAAATAGAGTTTAATTTCATTTTATGAATCAAACTTACCGAGGACTTTTTTCTCATGTATGAATTTGATATCGTCACGTAACTCAATAGTCGAATCAATGGCTTGATTAAAACCATCTTCACCATCATAAGAAATGACTACATGTCGAAGAATTGTTTCTGGAACACACTACAAAATATCTCCTTTGCTCATAATCATTATCAGAATAAAAGAACAACTAACAGAACCAAATATATCCAGTTGTTGAATTCCATTTATGAACGATTCTACAGTGGCAAGAATAACACCTGTCACGTTGGCTTTGCCATCCGTAATAAAACATTGTCGTGCCATTTCTGATATTTTTTGTACATATTTCTGCTGTTTTTTCTGCTAAAACGAGCATATCGAATGCCTCGTGAACGACCAGATCCGCATTTTGTTGGTAAGTCAGCCGAATTTCTTGCAATTTTATCGCGAGAATTACCATGCAATATTCCAAACAAAGCTTCATTTCTACCCACGACAATAAAGCCAAATCGAGAAATATTGGTCAGTAATGGTTGTAAAAAAGCCTGCAAAAAAGTTATTAGGATTACAGAAGGTTGTCAGTTCACACATATTCTGCTATCGAAACCTTATGATATACTAGAGTACCTGAATTAGAACTAACATTCCTCATAAATAATTTCTTTAATATTTTACGCGAACCTGTAATGATGGAAAAGTATAAGCTTTCCGTAATTCGTTTCTTTCATTAGTCTATAAAAATAGATGGGTACAAAAAAAAGTGAAAAAGAAACTACTTGATCACACTTGATAATCTGCCATCGACTTTTAGTTAGGCAACGTTTTCACGACGAACAATGCTTTATGTGAGTTGGAATTCAATTATAATTCTTATGAATTCAATCTGTCAAACATATATAGACACTTCACATTGATAAAAAAGAAATGTGTATTCAAACAAAAACTAACGACATAAATAGGCAATGTTGTGCAATTCTCTGGTTTTTATGATGCAATGTTTCAACGTTCAATATAAGTCAATTTTGAGTCTTGAGCAAGAATTATGGATCTACTTTCTAGCGAAGTCAACATGTACAAAACCTATCAATTATCCTTAATTTTTCTCGATATAAAGAATTAATGTCATGGTTGATTAGTCATTTGTTATATCGATCGTAAGGGGTCGCTGTCGGATGATCACATGTCTAGGTAATTGGGTGAGTGTAGATACCAATTTTCTTCTCACCCATTCTTCCATAACGAGACCTAAGACTCCCCACGGCACCGAAGATAATGATGAATACAATGTTTTTTTAAATGAATACATAGCTGTTCAGTTGTATGCATTGTATGCGTAAAGGCAGACAATAAAGTATCACTAAGACACTGAATGCATGAGTATTTGTCTTGAATAAAAAAAATTATTACTTGTTTATACATATCCGTAAGATATTTCAATAAAGTCTTTTTTTTACTCATTTTAGTGCTCTTTTTGGATCGCTCGTGGTTGAATCATTAATTTGTTGCATCATTATCTATATATTCTCAGTGAGTTGAAATATAGTGATAAATTACGAAATCAAGGCTCTATCGTCACTGTGGCATATATGAAACAAATATCTAAGTTTTATTGAATTTGATGATTATTCAGTCACCAGTATTATGCATAGTATGTATCCAACCAAATCTATGAGAAATATCAGTCAAAAACAACCCTTTTCAAAGTAATTTATCAAAGAAGTCTATACATCTCGTATAAAATTTTAGTAAAATTTTCGTGTATTTATATGCTAAACTATCCATTTAGAAAAGTTTTGAAGGGTGCGGATGTAAATTTGAATATATTTTACATCTACATCCATCTATCCGTTGAATGAAAATAAGAATTATTCATAAGTTAATTGTTACTGGTCGAATTATTGGAGCTTGATGCATTTATGCTCATGTATAACTAACGAAGATGCCTATCTAGATTAGGTTTTCGTTTTATTTTCAGTAGTGTCATCATTGCCGACTTGCCAGCCTTCTTTTTTCTGTTGGGAGATTTTTGTTGAATACGACTTGAGAAAAAAATAATGTCTCAAGTTCAAACAAAGAACATAACTATCAAGGAAAAATTTACTGAATTATACCCCAATGCACTTTTTGGTCGTAAACATGAATAAAAAAGTGAACACAGATTAACTCACATATTACTAAGAGCTGTCTTTTTTCTTGTATCTATCTTTCTCTCTTATTTGATTGTTTTGTTAACGAAAGAGATATTTCCTTTTACCACTCGTTGTTTCTTCATTCCTTTGCTCTTTTCTATTACATAAGTTCCATAAGGTCACTTCACTCGGTGTCATTCACTGGGCAAAATGATATAGACTAATCCTTTTCAATTGAGTGTCAAACAATAGAAGTATTGCAGATAGTGTCTAGAATTACAAGTATGTGTTGTACTTGATAACAATATTTCAATGTATGGGTCTCGCATCAGAAAAATATTTATGTGTATTGTCGAACCCTTAGAGAAATGAAAGAAATGATCCTATTGGACATGAATTTATTTGGAGTGGTGTATAAATTATAATAAAAATACTCGAAATTTATCAAAATTGTTTTTGCTAACTGAACTATTTTTACTTGCTTCTGCTTGTTACGTTACTGAGGAATATGCATAAATACAGCTTTTCTATCTTCGTAGTTTTAATCGTTTCTTTAAGGAACATCAACGAAATGAAAAGATCAAAAGAGGAGAGAAACTGGATACGAAACAAAGAAACATCTGCTTCGTCAATAGAATGATTGAAAAATTAAAATAAAAGGGAATAAGGTTCATTCTCTGTTCATTAACATTTTAACACGAAATATACCTTTCATATAAACTTATTAAGGAAACCACCATAAACATGATATCTGTGAGAAATTGAACTATCTTATTTCTAAAAGGGTTCTACTTTCTTTTTTTTCAGAATTCATAATGACAATAGATAGTATCTATGAACTGTCTCGTCTTTCTCCAAAATAATGATTATTTTTGAAAAAAAAGAAAAGTAGATCATACTTACAAAATGAAATAAAGTCGACTGAAAGAAATGAAAATCAACATTAATGGTAAATTCATTATAAAATCTTGAAACTGATAAACTATGTGAGTGTGTATTGATACATACAAAAAGACCGCATCCCCACCGTTCGATTCTGTTTTTTGTTTGTAAGATATTCTTTTCTTTGTCAAAGGCTAATGCATCGAAACTCGATTGAAATAGGATTCATTCAAAAGATATTAAATCAGATGAAATATCAAATACAGATTAAATCAATTACAATTGTCATCACATAGATATTGATCTAGCAACTAAAGTGTGAGTGTCTTCTACACATCCTCACTTAAGTTCATTATTTTTTTTTTATGCATTTTGAATTTTCACTGTTATTTTGAAAAAAATGTCACATATACTTGTTATTCATTACCAACTTATTTTTTTCTTTCATCAAGTTAAGTGTAGTTATATTTCATAAGAAGAATCACATCGAGATCCATATCCTTATGATGGTGTGTGAGTAAAGCAAAAACTCACTGATACGCTCAAACTATAATTAGATCGACAGATTATAATTTGCAAAGCAAAAAAAAAGGAAGATTAAATTGTTTTTAAGCGCGATAATTTTCTTTGTCATTCATTGTATCATCCTAATATTATAATAATGTATCGTAGATTTGAAAAGTTATCGATCCGTTGTTTAACAATTGATAAACGGTATGTTTCAATACTTGATAACTATTCTAACAACATGTGTGCAATATTTTTTAAACCAATTCATTTACACACACACACACACACTATCTTTGTCTTTTTTTGTTATATCTTAATCAACTATTGATGTTTTATTTTGTTTTCTTTTTTGAGGAAATGATATGATATTTATGACTAGAAAAAAATTGCTTTGTATGTCTAGGTCTAAAATAAGACAATTTTCTTCCTTTCTCTCATAAAAATGTGAACTATTCAAGATGCATAAAAAAAAGATGAATAGTATGCTTCCGTTCTCTTCTTTGTATGAACTCTTCGTTATACTGTTAACTTGGAACAGTACGTCATTTCCTTTATGTTTTCTGCTTGGTTAAATAAACAAGAAAATCTTCTTATTGATTGACATACAACAGGAGTTAATTAATGAGACGATTGTATCAGATAAATATCATGATCAACGATAACGATAGAATATTTTTTTTCCCCATTTATTACACTGTATATTTGTATGATTACTTTTTAGTTATAACTTTCTCTTTTATACATTGAACAATAGGTAAATATTTTATTAAAATCGTAAATTGTATGTTCATACTTGCATCATTATATATATTTTCGACATGAACTCTTTGAAAAAAAAACACCTATCGTTAGATGAATCATTAGATTTGAAGAATTCTGATTAACCCCGAACATAGCAGAAACATCAAATAGTTCAGAATTATTCGTTTTTTTTTTTTGTCTAGATAGCAATTATTCATTGAATTTCAAACTTTCTAAAACTGAGACCTATGGATCAAATTAAACGAAAATTAACTTTTAATCAATTATCAAAAGAAGAAACAAAAAAATTACGAAGTAAATTATTTGAATAATACATATATATAGAGTTTTTTTTTTCGTATTCTCATATAAATAGATGAATTTAATCGATCAATAACTTGCATTGAAAATTTATCTAATGAATTTTTCTATGAAATATTTGATTATCTCGATGGTTATGATATATATAAAGCATTTTCATATCTTAATCAACGTTTTCAAAAACTTCTCAATTCTTCATCACTTTTATTTAAAATTACACTTGATGATTCAATATATAATGAATCATATATAAGTAGTTATAAACAATATCTTCATCTTAATCGACATAAAATATTTTCTATTGATTTATGTTCAATAATAAAAAATAATTCTATCTCATGGCTTACCTTTGATTCATCATTAATGTGTCTCGAATCACTTTCTATTAGACAAAAACTAGATAATTTGATCTCAATTCTTCTTAATTTAGCTTATCTACCTCGTCTTTTCTATTTAACTATAGACATATCAAATAATTCTAAAAATATCAATGATATTTATCAATTGATATTTACCTTACCAATATTAAAATCACTCATAATCAGATCAGGTCATTATATCAAAATTTCACTACCAATGGTTACCAATCAACAATTGAGTACTATTGAATATCTTTCTATTGATCATTCTTGGACTTACAATGAACTTTTTTCTATTATGTCTTATACACCTCAACTTCGTCGTCTACAACTTTGTAATGCATATGATTTTCATAGAAATATTCAAACTATATTACCAAACAAATTATTAAAATTAAAAGATATTTCGATACCTACGAATAGTTTAAAATTTCATGAATTTGAAATATATATTAGAAAAATAGATGCTAAATTAAAAGTGTTACGTGTTACTGTTCAATCTCAAGATATAACTTTTCTTAATGCTTATCGATGGGAAAAATTAATTTTAGAATCCTTTTCTCAATTGGAACAATTCTATTTACGATATATTGAATGGTTTGATAAAAAATATCAATATCCCGGAGGACCAAATCAATTCATTTCATCATTTTGGATTGAAAAAAAATGGATATTTGAAATTGAAATCAATCATGAATCTATTGATTACTCAATTCGGCCCTACAGGTACGTGAAGAATATATTTTTTTAATATGAAATAGATTTTTTTGTCCATTCTATTAGAAAAAGATGGTATGAAGATACACAAGATAAGAATTTTAATTCTTCTGTTGAATATTCGAAATCTGCTCGATTAATCATCACATTTATTGATAACCACGATTTTGAAGAAACTACGATAATGAGTATAACATACATTTTGACTGTAGCACAAATTTATCATTTGGAGATTTCAGAAGAAAATGTTCATGTTGGTGTATTAATTGGAGTTGTAAGTTTATTATCAGAACTTACTACATTAAAAATTCATTCTTTATCATTACATGTACCAAGAATGTTAAATTCTGAAGAAATTCATACATTGTCTTCAATAGAAGATACTAGTAAAGTTACAAAAGTATATCTTGAAATAATGTATAATATTGAAGATTTTTATTTTCTTTTGGAATTATGTCCTTATATGGAATATTGCAAAGTGAATTCTATAAAACGTATCGATTACAGATTTGTTCTACGATATATTTTCAAAAAAATTAAAGATGATTGTAATGATCATCTTCGTTTATTGTGTTTTCGTATTCCAACAGCAGATGATGAAATGATTAAAAAATTAAAAAGAATGATTAATTTTGAAAAACTTTTATTCAATTATACCATTAAACGTGTAGCTGATTATCTATATTTTCAATGGTAATAATTTCAAGATGTGTATTATTTATTCTAGTAAAATGTGTTTTGTTTTTATTTATTCAAATAAATGATCTTTTAGTCAACCAATTTCGTATTAACATATGATTTTTTAAAATTTCTTGACACCAATGATGAAGGAATTACATATTTCTTTTTTGAGTAAATTTCCAAAGGAATTCAAGAAAAAAAGATTAAGCCTTTAAGTTAGTCTTCAAACTCAACTCAGTAATAATACATCAGATTTCATTTATCATTCATGTTTCATTTATCTAGAATAGAGCACTTATCGAACTTAGCTAATCAAAAAGAAAACACTTATATTATATAAATGTAGTTAATATCAACGACAAATCAATGGTACCACAAAAATTATATCTGATTTACAGTGTTTTACAATTGTAAAGTCATTAATTACTGTTTTGATATTCGATACATACTGAAGACAAGTAACGTTCATCGTCAAACGATTCACTTAGCCCTAGACTGATAGAATACATGTACGGATGTAATAGCATAAAAAACTACATTAAAAAAGTAATACGCAAAATTGATAATATGACCAGTATATCTTAGGCGAGCAGAAAACTTAATTTGGAGAATTCTCACTCTAAGTAAAGATAATGCATTTTACAAATTTAATTTTTTTTGTCGTTTCTGTTTTATTTTTTTTTTGCTTTTATAAATATAAATAGCGCTCAATAAGATTAGACAAGAATGCGATTTTTTTGTAATTATATTGGCGCTATTTGTACGTACAAAAATATGAATTATATTATTCATAAAATTTGAGTTTTATTAATCAATATTTTATGCTTCAATTCGCGCATTAATTCTAAACTATTAATTCATTGATACAACATTGCACAATCAATCCTACAATAATGAATAATTTAAACGATTTCTTTAAATCCATACTGCTCATTTGGTCTGACTCT